AGAACCCAGAATTAAACAAAGGAGAGAATCCAGATCAATTCTCCTTTCTTTTAATCAGGAAATTCAATTATAATTAAAATCGAGAGAATACAAATCAATTTTCTTTTATTCTTTTTACCGCAAATTTTCCACCAAACATGCGTCAAAACTTAATTTGTATGACTATCTTTGCGACTAAGTTTTGAGCTTTTTCCCTTGCTTGCTTGGTTTCTCTTCATTTCAAAATTACGTGATTTCCCTATTAATTTCCAGATTTGTCTCGATGCTGACGTGTTCAAGTTGATTCAAATGGCAACAAAAGAATATGATTGTGATCAACCCTGATGCTTCTGGAATATTATACTTGAAGGATATCAGTTAAAGTAGTTGTTCATCCAAGTTAGTCCACAGATGTATAGTTCCATGGATAATTACCTTCCATTGAGGCTGCAGCTATCAATTGATCAAGACAGCCGTCTACATAATTGACCTATGCAGGCACGAGGGTGGAAAATTGCCTGAAGGCTAGCCGTCTACATCATCTGATTCATCAAAGGTATGTTGTAGCTGCCCTCGCTTATTCTCTTGCTTCACTAGCATCCGTTTCCGCAGTGACATTGGTGACATTATTAAGAAACTAAATGAGAGATTGGATGAGATATCTAGAGATATGTCGGGCCTTAATTTAGTGAGAAGTGAACCTGATATCCGAGTCACAATAGTTGATCCTCGATCGTCAGACCTCGTGTTGGATAGCAGGTTCCTAATCTGTTTTGGTAACAGGTTATTATTATTTCTAATCTATTTTGGTAACATGATTCTTAATCTGTTTTGGTAACAAGTTATTAGGATTCCTAATTTGTTTTGGTTTTGGTTATAGAATTCCTAGTCTGTTTTGGTTTTAGGTTTTTTATATATATGAAACGCCGTAGAAGAGATTATGATCATAAAAAAAGAGGAGAGTTGTAATCAGAGATTAGAAAGACTTTTGAGCATTGTGAGAGGGAGATATTGTGAGCAAGTTGAGAGCTTTGGTTGAGGGTTAGTTTGTGGGGAGATATTGTGAGCAAGTTGAGAGCTTTGGTTGAGGGTTAGTTTGTGAGTTTTGTGAGATTGTAACCCTTGTTGAGGGTTAGTTTGTGAGTTTTGTGAGATTGTAACCCTTTGTACTCTCCTTGATTTAGTGGAATCTCATCATCCTCTCCCCGTAGACATAGGCAAATTGTCGAACAACGTATATCTCTGTGTTTGTGATTGATCTGTCGTATTTTACGTGGTTCGGCAAGGTACCTACATCCACGGGACAAGGAGGGGGAGATCTACTATTAGAGAGAGAGAGAATATAAATAGGATTTACAATCACACAAATTAAACCCTCAAACAAGCTCTTAAATCTCACACAAATATCTCCCTCAAAAGGATGCTCAAACTCTAAAAATATCTGCACAAAACTCCTCTTCAAAACAGCAGCTATCCTCTGCGTTTTCACTAAGCCCAGCCGCAAAACCTTCTGCAATTTTCCTTTGCCTTGCACCTAACCCTAGGGACAAATTATTGTTCCTATTTATAGCCTGTAGCCTGGCCGTGTGTGTGGATGTGGCCCCCCTTCGTTGAAAACGCGTACGTGGGTGGGGAGATGTTCGTGGGCCACGAGCAAAACGCGTTCGGTTAAAAAAACACGTTCACAACAAACACGTTGTGGTCCCCGCCCCACGCACGCGTTCACACAACACGAAAGGAATCAGTTCCCTAAATTCCCAGTTAGTTAATGGGGCGTTGCTATTTGGCTCGCGGGGGGTGTGGGGCCCACCCCCTACTCCCTCACTTCGAGTTGGGCGCGAGTTGGCCCGCCGCGAGCCAAATATCATTTTGGTATTTAATGTCTAGGCGCGCTTGGCTGCCTTCACATGCTGAATTTAAACGTCTTTGCCAAACAATTGATCGGATCACTTTTTTACTTTATTCCACCATTGTGGTCCCGTAGACTTATTATACCTTAATTATGTTCTCACCCGTCCTTGCACCTCAATAATTGAGAGAGGGATCGAGAATAGAAAAGGAGAAAAACCTATGTAATGGAGTGCGCGCATTAATTCATTTTGCAACAAGTTCCAATATGTTTGTAATATTTTCCGTTTAAAAACCAAAACTGACCAATTGATTGAGTCAAATCAATCTTTATCCTGACTAATCTACGGTTAGACCTCAACCAAACCTTTGTATAGTTCCATGGATAAATTACCTTCCTTTGAGGCTGCAGCTATCAATTGATCAAGAGGGAATTAAGGTGCATTGTCTTCACATGCTGAATTTGTGTCAAACAATTGATCGGATCATTGTGGTCCCATAGACTTATTATACCTTACGTTCCTCCCACTTGTAGCTCTGAAGTTTGTCGGGATCTCGCTAGCCCTTGCTGAAATTCATGGCTCTTAGCTCTGAAGTTCGGTAGCACCTCCTCGTCTTGATAATAATTCGCCCCCTGTGAAAGGAAGTCCTCATTTTACATTTATAGGCTTCAAAATCGGTTGATTCAGATAGGAACAGAGTATTTGGTCATATCTTCAATCAACAACCACTCACTCACGTTTAGATATGATTTGCGGGTAGTTATGGAGGTGGAACAGAAGAAACCGATCGAAACAAACCGAAACGCATTTTGGTGGTTACGGACAAAAGTGGGCGTCTGCTGACTCACAGGGGGCACGGGTCAGACAGACCTGACCTGCGCCACC